AGACCTTCATTTGCTGATGTGGCACGACTCAAATTGAGGAGAAACAGCTGCAAACATCCATTAATAATAGGAACATGGAATGTACGAAGTATGAATCTACGAAAATGGGAAGTTGTCAGAAATGAAATGAAATGCATAAAGATTGATATCCTAGGTATTAGTAAGCTGAAATGGATGGGTTTTGGACATTTTGAATCAGATAACCAAATGTTCTACTGTGCCAGGAATGACAATTTGAAGAGGAATGGTGTGGCATTCATCATCACAAAGGATGTTTCAAGATCTGTCCTGAAATACAATGCTGTCCGTGATAGGATAATATTCTTATGCCTGTGAGGAAGACCAGTTAATGCCATTATTATTCAAATTTATACACCAACCACCAAAGCCAAAGATGAGGAAATTGAAGACATTTATCAAGTTTTGCAGTCTGAAATTGACTAGATGTGTTAATTATCACTGGTGACTGGAATGCAACAGTTGGAAACAAAGAAGACAAAAATTTTCCACCAGTAGTTGGAAAATTTGGCCTTGGTGACAGAAATAATGCTGGAGATTGCATGATAGAATTTTGCAAGACCAACGACTTACTCATTTCAAATACCTTTTTTCAACAACACAAATGGTGGCTATACATGTGGACTTGGCCAAATGGAGTACATAGGAATCAAATTGACTACATCTGTGACAAAAGACAATGAAAAACCTCAGTATCTTCAGCCGAAACAAGGCCAGGAACTGATTGCTCATATGCAAGTTCAGCTTGAAGTTGAAGACAATTAAAACAAGTCCACAAGAGACAAAATATGACCTTGAATATATCCCTCCTGAATTTAGACACCATCTAAAGAATAGATTTGATGAATTGAACACCAATGATTGAAAACCAGAAGAATTGTGGGATGACATCAAGAACAACATCCATGAAGAAAACAAGGGGTCATTAAAAAGATGAGAAAAGAAGAAAAGACCAAAATGGATGTCAGAAGAGACTCTGAAACTTGCCCTTGAGTGGAGAGTAGCTAAAGCAAATGGAAGAAATGACAAGATAAAAGAGCTGAACAGAAGATTTCAAAGAGCAGCTCGAGCAGATAAAGCCAATTACTATAATGAAATGTGCAAAGACCTGGAGTTAGAAAAACAAAAGGGAAGAACATGCTTAGCATTTCTCAAGCAGAAAGAACTGAAGAAAAAATTTAAGCCTTGAGTTGCAATATTGAAAGATTCTATGGGCAAAATATTGAATGATGCAGGAACCATCAAAAGAAGATGGCAGGAATACACAGAGTCACTGTACCAAAAAGAACTGGTCAATGTTCATCCATTTCAGGAGGTGACATATGATCAAGAACCAATGGTATTGAAAGAAGAAGTCAAAGCTGCACTGAAGGAACTGGCAAAGAACAAGGCTCCAGGAACTGGCAGAATACCTACTGAGGTGTTTCAATAAATGGATGCCCCACTGGAGGCACTCACTTGGTTATGCCAAGAGAGTTGGAAGACAGCTACCTGGCCAAGTGACTGGAAGAGATCCATATTTGTGCCCATTTCAAAGAGAGGTGATCCCACAGAATGTGGAAATTATCGAACAATATCATTAATATTGCACACAAGTAAAATCTTACTGAAGATAATTCAAAAACAGTTGCAGCAGTATATTGACAGAGAACTTCCAGAGATGCAAGCTTGATTCAGAAGAGGACATGGAGCAAAGGATATCATTGCTGATGTCAGATGGATCTTGGCTCAAAACAAAGAATACCAGAAAGATGTTTACTTGTGTTTTATTGACTATGCAAAAGTATTTGATTTTGTGGATCATAACAAATTGTGGATAACATTGAGAAAAATGGGAATTCCAGAACACTTAACTATACTCATAAGGAACCTGTACATAGACGAGGAGGCTGTCATTCGAACAGAGCAAGGGGACACTGCATGGTTCAAAATCAAAAGGGAGTATGTCAGGGTTGTATCCTTTCACCATACTTATTCAATCTATATGCTGAGCAAATAATCCAAGAAGCTGGACTATATGAAGAAGAACATGGCTTCAGGATTGGAGGAAGAATCATTAACAACCTGTGATACACTGACAACACAACTTTGCTTGCTGAGAGTGAGGATGACTTGAAGCACTTACTAATAAAGATTGAAGAATACAGTGTGCAATATGGATTACACCTCAATATAAAGAAAACAAAAATCCTCATAACTGGACCTGTAAACAGCATCACAATGAATGGAGAAAAGATTGAAGTTGTCAAAGACTTCACATTGCTTGGTTCTACAATCAAGGCCAATGGAGGCTGCAGTCAGGACATCAGACAACATATAGCACTGGGCAAGTTGGCTGCAAAGGACCTCTTTCAAGTGCTGAGGAGCAAAGATGTCTCCTTGAGGATTAAGGTGCGCCTGACACAAGCCATGTTATTTTCAATTGCCTCATGTGCGTGTGAGATCTGGACAATGAATAAAGACCGAAGAAGAACTGATGCTTTTGAGATGTGGTGCTGGCAAAGAATGCTGAACGTACCATGCTCTGCTAAAAGAACCAACAGATCTGTCCTGGAGGAAGTACAGCCAGAATGTTCCTTGGAAGCAAGAATGGCCAGACTGTGTCTCTCCTACTTTGGTCATGTTGTCAGAAGGGACCATTCCCTGGAGAAGGATGTCATGCTTGGTAAGGTGGAGGGAGGGTCAACGAAGGAGGGGAAAGCCCTCAACAAGATGGATTGACACAGTGGCTGTAGCGATGGGCTCAAGTATAGCAGGGTCGTGGGCTGGCGCAGAACCAGGCAGTCAGAGACCACTCGATGGCACCTAACAACAACAAAGGTTTCAGCAGCTGAGTTTTTGAAGCAATCACTAGACCTTTCTTCCAAGACTTCTCTGGATGGACTTGAAACTCCATCCTTTTGGCAGCAGCCAGGCATGTTGTTTGCACCGCCCAATCACTGCCTCTTGAGCTGGGAGGGTTCATCATAAAGCATCACGGATAATTTGGGGAATGATCAAAGTTTTGGTAGGTGAGGTGGTTTTAATGTTTTCCAACTCTTGTGGTTAAGAAATTCTGTTTTATATCTAATTTTGTAGTGAGATTAAGTTCTTCTCTTGTAATTAATTTGAAATGATTTTTTTACCATCATTTCAACAAAATACATTACATAACAGTTTCTTAATGATAGTCTTTAAGCACTTTTGTTTTCCTAGCTAAATAGGCCTAAATAATTTACCCTTTTTTCATTGATCTGTTACACATTTGGCTGTAAACTCCTTTAAGCAGAGAGATGCCCATTTTAACTTTTTTTAACCAATGGCTAATAAGGACTATTCTGTGTTCATAGAGATAAGTAGCAATGCTTTCTCAAGAGGAGAATACTGGTTATTGTTTACTGTGAGCTTCCTGTGTGCCGGGGTATTGTTGTAAGAGCTATATGCAATTGCTTTATTCCCCACAAAATATTATTAACACCATTTTATAGATGGGGAAATTGAGACAGGGAATGGTTAAGTAGTATACCCAAGTTTGCTAGTGGCTAGTAATAAAAAGAGAAATAAACACAGCATGCAGCTTTATTTCTTTAATTATTTTCCCCATCAACTAACCAACTTCCTAAATTGTTGCTAAATTACATAAAGCAAAAAATGATAACATAATTCTCACTAGTATACAACCATAAGGTCCACAGTTTCCAGTGTAACTTCTAGGTCATCTGTTAGTTCACAATATATTCCCCCGCACTTAAAAATATTTAAACTGATTGTATCCTAAAATAAAGCTGATGAGTACTATTCAAGTACTTTTATCTTTATAAATAAAATAGTCTCTAGTTAGCAAAAGTAATTTTGTTTGAAGATACTACTAATATGTGATTTTTTTTTTTCCAAGTCACTTTGCTGCAGAGAAAAATGTGAGCAAAATGCAAAAGGAGTAAGCAGGAAAAAGTTAAACTCAGATACCTTTTTTAGATGAACTCTGTTGACTATTCAGATTTCTTAAAGCCCAGATTAGCTTCTTAGCAAATGAATTTTTCAAAACTGATTAATAAATTTCTTTGTACTTCTCTAAGGGAATATGATTTGGAAGAAAAAAAGAAAATTAAATAATCTATGGACAAGAAAAATTAGAACTTGAAAATTATTTCTTTTTCTAAGGATAAAGAATAAAAATATAAATCATACATAACCCCACCATACAAAAAGAACTTCTCAATATTTCAGCACATTTCCTTCCAGTCTTTTTTCTGTATTTTCAAAAACATAATAAGCCATTTTTGAAAAGTCAAGATTTATTTGGACTATTTACTCAAGCAGTTTACCCTGTACCCCAGGGAAAAACTCCCTATTGTCCTTCTGCCCCCCTGCAATGTATTCATCCCCTTCTAAGATAATTCAAGTTATTGACAGGGAAATCCAATGATTAAATCTTTATCTAATTTGCTTCTTATTTTCCTGTTTGGAAGACAAGTTCTTTAATTAAAATTAAAGATTAGCAAAGCCCTCAATGATTAGAATGCATCTCCTTATTTTCAAAGATGACATAGCATTCTCAGCTGATGGTTTTTACACTGTTGAAAGATATGTGCAATGAAAGGGTCAAGTTTAAGACTTCTCTAACCCTCTGCTCAACATCTCTGGTAAATGGCCTTCCCGGTTTTAGAGATTTGTTTAATGATCAATAGTGGTTTTTATTTTGTACCACTGAGTCTCTCAGAAAGTGGCTTAAGCAAGTCAATGTTTAACTGGATTCGTTGGTCTGGAATAGCCAAGTAGGAGTTGAAGGGAAGTATCCATGGAAACAAGCCTCCCAGGAAGTGGCCAGAGGGCTTAGTGCAGGGTGAAACAGAGCTAGAAAGATACTATGAAGGAAAAGACTGCTTTGTAAAGCTGGGAAAAGTTAGAGAAAAGCTTCTGAAATACCTTGATTAAAACAAGTAACATTAAAGTTTCCAAAACCATTTCTATCATGGTTTTCCTTTGAATGTCTTTAAGGTGAAATGGGCCTGAGCCACTCTAAGGCTCACCCTAGGGTGACTAAAGTAGCACCCTTACAAAACAAAGGGGAAGAGATGCCCTCAGCTTGCCCTGTGGTGTTTGCATTCAATCAGAATCTGGAAGAAAAGAATTCACATTCCTTCACAAGTCTGCAGAACCGAACTAAAACTTTGGATGGGCAGCTGCCACCTCTACGAGAGACTTGGTATGGAAGATATTCTGCAGGTAAATATAAAATCTAGCGTGAGATTAATGTATCTGGGCCAAGAAGAGCTATTGGTAGATTTAGCTGACTGCATATCTCCATAATCTCAGAAAATTTCTAAATTACTGAAACATAAGGGAACATCTTTTAGTGGGAATTGAATGTTTATTAACTGAAAGTATTGTTCTGGGTACATTAGAACAGGTGTGTAAACTGAATAAAGGGCTTTAAACAATTTCATATAAGAAGGAAAAACTTGTTTCAGTTTAGCTTATAGTGTTTTCAATGTTAAAACATAGGTTTACCAGGCTATTAAAATTATGTTGATATAGATGTGAAAAATGACAGCAATCATATGTTTCTTAGATTCTGAATTTAAATCATTCGCTCCCCTACATTTCAATGCATTAGGCTTTGTTGTTTGGAAAGCAGCATATTAGAAGCAAATCTATTTTAGAGTCAATTTGGAAACCACTCCAAACAGAACTGATTTATTGCAGTACAGATGAGTGAATGGGTTACCCCCTCCCCAAGCCCATATCCTTCATGGTCATCTGCAGAATACTAAGAGAATTATTTTCCATGTGATTGGAAGCTCTGAACCTGAAGTGGCTATAAATTATCCCTGAATATTTTACAAGACATGTAAAATGTTTTATGACAACCACATAATTAAACAGACGTTCCAGCATGGGAAAAGGAAATAAATAAATATTCACTCCTCACTTATCCACGTGGTTAGGGTCCAAAGACTACAGCATTATGTAAAAATCAGTGTTATGCAAAAACGGAGAATGACAGCAGATCACAAAATGGAGGATGACTACATTTTTATATAACTGCCAAATTGCATCATTACATGACTACCAAAACACTGAGAATCATGGCCCAGCCAAGTTAACACAGCTTTAACCATCACAGCCAGCATTTCTCTTGCCTCGTACCTAGCATTTGTTACTGGAAGACATACATCATTAATGTGCAAAATAATTGGATAATAGATTTTTCACTATTGTTGTAAATGCAAAATGTCGAGCAACAAGATAGTCAACATGTGAAGAATAGGTGTATATGCTCATTTATATATGTATGTGTGTACATGTATATATATGTATACATGCACACACACAAATTTTTTCACATTCTGGATCAATAACACAAATTTAAAAAAAAAAAAA